TCCATTACACCTATGCTCTGTGAGCGTCTGTGCCTTCAGTGAATGAGATGACTCAGCCTGAATTGTTACAGCAGAAAGTGAGTGGAAACAGGAGACACTTGTCAGGTGAAAGCAGTGATGGCCAGTCACTGGGGCACAGGATCTCACCAGTCAACAAATCTTAAAAACCAATATCTAACCACGAAAGGTCTAATGACATGTTTGAAGTGTTGTACCACTAAATTTCGATATTTGCTGTGACTTTATTTCACCAAGGTGCTTTTTCCCAAAAGTAAGCCTTTAGCTCAGTGCAAGTTCACAGATGAATACATGTGCATTCATTCAGGCTGTGGGCGCAAAGCCATTGGGGGCTTTTGCCTGTGGGCATGAAGCACCCCGTGCAGATCACCAGTGGCTGCATGAGTGTGCGCGCGTCTGTGATTGTGTGTAGGCCATCTATCACCGTGACAGGCTGGTGCGTGTTTACTTAATGATGTGGGGGTTTATTTATGAAGTGATGGCCGACGTGTGGGAGGGAGAGGGAGAAGTGAGAGAAGGAAAGAGATTGAGACAGCCTGAGGATGTGACATTAAAATATCATCAAGGTGATGGATATCCACACACACAACATTAGAGAGAAGTACAAAAAACAGCTGTGCAACGGATGACAAGTCATATCTGGACTTGTGTGAGTGTCTCTCAGTGTGGGTTTTATAATGAATGAGTGTGTAGATGTGTGTGTGGTTTTCTGGGACTTCTGTGTTCATTAAGGTGCCACATATGCTGCCATTGTTGTTTATGATTCGCAGGGCAATGAGCTGAAGATAAGATGCACGTGTCCGTACTGTGCGTCTATCTTACACTGATTTACTGTGGCTTTACATACAGTGAACCATGTTATGCATGGTCAGCTATAATGCAGAGCCACAGAGTACAGTAGATTTACATTATAATAAACACGTCATAGACATGCAATCAGAAGAAACAAGGACACAGTGAGTTTGATATTAAGCTTTCTGGGTATTCAGTTGTGTATCCTGTGACAGTAACAACCACTAGGGGGCAAATAGTGAATGAACAAAGAAATGACATAATGAACGTCAAAGTCATTTCCTTCATGGTAATAAAAATAAAAACAAGCCAAAACACGTGAAACATAGAGTAAAATGAGTAAACTACACCTGATATCATTGTGTAAATATCCCTCTAACAGGGCTGCAAAGTTAATTGACATTATATTTAGCACATAAGGCAAACATGTTAAACTCAAAATAATTTCAAATTGTACAAATAAGATTAATTGGGAGGAGCCGCACTCTTCTATCAAGACAGAAAATCGCCTCTTATGTAAAGGTCCTATGCACCTGAGTCGAAAAAGAAGTGTGGAAAATGTACAGTAAGTGCATAAATCAATCTTCAGGAAAAGAAAAAAAAGAAAGTCCAAATCCAGAAGGGACTAGAGGACTGCCATAGCCAGTCCAACTACACTCCAAGGATATTAAGACCAGATCTGGAGCAGCTACACTGGCAGCAGCATGATGCTAGCAACACTTGAGCAGCTGCATTTGAAAAGAGACACAATACATGCCACTGTCACTGCACTTCATAGTTTATCCTTTTGCGTCAAAAGGACATTTTTCTACTGCACTGATATCATAAGACCTTAAGGTTCTTTTGCGTATATCCAGTTTGGTATTAGACATACTGACACATGCACCCAAGATCTACAGCAATCCAACAGGACCTGTCTTGGCCTGACTCCTATTGGTTTACAGATACTGGGAACTGTGTTGACCTGTAAAAATCTCTCTTCTGGAACTTGTTTTGTTAACTCAGAGGAAATAACCCCTGATCAGTCCATCAGGGTTATCTGACAAATTTATAACATTTATATAATGTCTAAAAGACATGATGGGCATTTACAAGGCAGGGAGGAAATATTGGGTCCAGCACAACAATCCTTTTTAAATCTACCTCATTAACAAGAGATAAGAGAACCCCAAATTTATAGAAGCACAATCTTAAATCGCTGCCTTTAAATGGTGACAGAGAATAGTTAAAATATTTTAGTTATACTGTATATTGACCTACTGAGTTGAAACTTATTTCATGATCGGTCTCTACAGCAACAATATGATGAAAAGTTATAGAACTCTAAAGAAACTCGTGTACTTTTGAGGCTTAATTGGCCATCATGACATTACAGAGAGCCTATCATTAGCATACAGAGAAAATAGAGAGAGGGGGACAGTGTGATTGTCATAATTACAAGTGTGACCTATCCACAGGCAGGGAACATGGGGGAAGGGTCAAATTAGAGACCGGATGACAGACATAGACATGGGGGAGAGATGTTAGAGGAATGAAATGAGGAAGAGACATCAAGTCCTCTTCTAGATATAGCTGCGCATACCCACAGTAAAAGCCAGTGACACACACCCACACAAACAATTCCACCTCTTGGTTATGTAGATAGATGACTGCTGAAAAAAAATAAAGAAAGACATGAATAGATGTTGTAACCAAAGTCTTTTATCCCAGCTTTTGTTTATGTCAGTTTAGGTTATTGTGTTACCCAGGATCCTCTAGCTCAGGAGAGTAAATGGAGATGCACACATACTCTTATCTTCTCTTTCAAAAACACAAACCACTCAGAGAGGGAGAATGGGGCTCCTGGCCTTGTGTGGAGAGCTTGGAAAAACCTTTTTAACCATTCAAGGCTACAGAAATAGTAGAGCATAAAAGAGCAGCGCGGTGCATGGTGGAGGACGCAGCGGCTAAAAGGCTCATCACACAAGGCTGAAGTGAGCGATCAAGTGGTCTGCATTTATGCTGCACACTGAGGGAGAAAATACATAAATGTTGTGTAGCAATGTCCTGGTGAATCAAAAGGTGTAGACACTGTTAACTCCAATTTGTCTACACCTGAAGGGAAAAAGCATCATCATAAACATGTACAGATTGGGATGCTAAGAATTTGTGGTAAATATTAACATCAAATTTGAATGCAAGTGTCTTTACATACATTTTATTTTCCTAGTAAAACTATTTTCATATTAACTTTGAAAGTAAAGTTGAAGAAATGTTTAGACTGTGAAGGCGTCCCTTCCACAGAGCTGTAATTAAGTGTATGAGAGCTAAAAATATGAGTTGTGTTTCTGTCCATCTCATCTGACGATGATTCTGGGTAACACACAAACCCCAGCTGCCATAAACAAAAGAGGATAAAAGCTCAGACAGTGGTCAGAAAATCTATTCATGTCTGTGCTTATTCTTTTGGTGGCCATCTCTCTACATGGTGTGGGTGGGTGTGTGTGTGTGTGTGTGTGTGTGTGCGTGCGTGTCAATGACTGCAAAAGCTTTGTACATGTGACTAATTGTCTTCCACATAAGTTGACTCCAGGTCAGCTTCAAGTAGTGCTACTTGTAGTAGTGGTCCTTCTTTGGCAGATGCCTTTCTACAAACAGACTCACAATAAAAGCATTAAACCTCTGAGGAGCCATGGATGCAATCAAAAACTGTGAGTGCATCCCTCGCAAACAACAGCGTATTTAGTGCTCAAGTGTAAAATAGTTTATTTTTTCTCTTCAATTCTCAGTTGTTTCCCTTAAAATATAATTTCCCAGTCATTTCAGCCATCACACTGTGTTTCAACACAACATTCCATTATCTTTTTTTGTACCTGGGATAACTTCCTAGATGCTTTACTGTTTCTCTTCTCACTATGTACATGTGTGAGTGCGTGTGATTGTGAGCGGGGTGTTTCATTATCGGGCTCCTCAGGGTAGGAACCAACTGCTGGTTTTTACCATGGGCACCGCTGTCTTTTTTCTTTTTTATGGAATGATAAATAACAATCAGATCAGAGGTTATGCCTCATACTCGTTGTACTTTAATTGCAACAAAGCCTTGGTACCGACTGAGTCGCACCGACCCGAGGCAGAAACACATACTGTGTAATGAGTGATGAAGCCCTTTCTCAAAGAGCACGACTGCAGTCAGGGAGTGCTTAACGAAACTGGTCCATCGGACTTCGTTGCTCAATAAGGAGACAACAATAATGGAATTATTGCATTCACTTCAAGGAAGTGAATGCAGTAGGAGACAGGGTGTGTCTGATGACTGGGTATTGGCAATGCCATCTGTAAATCCATCCCATATTTCCCCACACGCCTCTGCTTCTTCCTCTTCTGTTGTGTCATTTAAAGAAAAATAAATCTACCTGTGAGGATAGATTTGCTTTTGCAAATTGCTGAGGCATGATTCAGTAATGCTGATTTGGATCAAAGTATGATTTTCTGCATCCATGGGCGCGCTATCAAAAAAAGAACCCATTTTAAAATGGCTGATAAATGGCTATTGATTTCCATGGTGAGTAGGCTCAATTCTGGAGTGTACGGAGGTAAATGAAATGATTCCTCAGGCTGGATCAATACAGGTTCAGGGACATTTAGCAGTACAGCATGGCTAGAAGAGGCAACTAGAGTGCGAGACTTTAGGCCACTGCTGCTCTTTCCTAAATAAGAAAGAAAAGGAGAGTGAGGTAGAGGTGTACAGTGCTTTCAGTGAAGAAAAGAAAATAGAAAGCAATTGGATAAGAGAGAAAGAAAGAGAAAAGGCAGAGGTACAGAGCTATAAGACGAGGTGGCTGGAAATGTCACCGGTCTAATAGATCTCTCCATAAACTAAATGAGGAGAAGAGCAGGCGCTGCCTCAGTGGCACAAAATGTTAACAAGAGAGCTGAAAATAGCCTGAGAAAAGCACAGGGGAAGACAGGCTGGCCTCACAAGAACACTAGAGTGCTCTGGAGGCCGCTACGCATACACACATTTTCCTTTCATTTAAGATTTTAAATTAGCATCCAGCATGTATGTCTGGATGAACATGTTATTAGATAGCATTTTCTGGATGTTTAAGAAACAGAAAAAAGGCAGTACTGTAAACTTAGACTGTAAACTTCTTGCTACCTAAATCTGGCTGCCGTTTCTTGGATATACTCCCACAGACACGCACACTCACCCGGTTAGGGTCGTTCTCCAGCACCCTGCGCCGTGCAGCATCTAGTTCCTCGTAGACTGGAGCAGCTCGGGCCTGCGGGTACTCCCTACGCAACCCTTGGACACGTTGGTCACTGCAGAGAGATACAGAGGAAGGTGTATATGATGTCAAAAAGATGGTGGTTGGAGACAAGGAAACATTTAGGTAGACAAGGATCTAGCATGGCTCTTATCATGGCCTGAATGTCAAATTCTAGGACTATTTCCAAAATGAATTTCTATAATGTTTGTTCATCTTAAGGGGGAAAAAAAAGAGTCTAATTTTCGCTACAAATGGGAATGAGGTCAAAGGTCAAAGTGTTTATTTGTCATATGCACAGTTAGGAAACGTGTTTCCCTGTACAATGAAATTCTTACTTTGCTGTCCACATGAATGCCACAAAATACAAATGAAATATAAAGTAGATAAATAAGTAACACAAAATCTAAGG